AGAGAGAGAGAGAGAGAGAGAGAGAGAGAGAGAGAGAGAGAGAGAGAGAGAGAGAGATGGCGTATATGAGAGAATTTAAGTGTGTTTATTCATGTGGAACCTACAAGGAGCACGAGGCAGGGGTAGGCCTCGGGAAACTTGGAGGAGATGCGTGGAAAGGGACAGGAGAGAGATGAAGCTCACTTGGAACGAGCTGCCAGGGGTGAAAGGCATTGATGATGATGATGATGATGATGATGATGATGATGATGATGATGATGATGATGACGATATTAGTGTTTCTGTCTGTGTCAGACTGTGTGTTTGTGTGTGTGTGCGAGTGTGTGTGAGAGAGAGAGAGAGAGGAGGGGAGAGACTGAAAGGTAGATCTAGAAAGTGTATGAGAGAAAGGGTGAGGGAGGGGAGAGTGAGAGAAGTAGAAATTATATTTTTGTTTGTTTGCCATAATTATTATATTTTCTCTATCAGGGCGCTACCAATGTGGCCCGACCCCTCACAAAGCGGTCCGCTGTGGAGAGTTGAGCGTGGGTTACGATACCGGCTTCCTGTTTGGTGAGGTCAACGGGGAACTTTGTACCTGGCTGGTGCCCAATGACCGGTCACGTGGTCTACAGCTGCTCAGTAGGGATCCTACAGCGTGAGTTATCATGTTCTTAGTGAAACATGTAGATGTTTTTACAACACCATCGTCGCAATGTGGATGATTTAGTAGGGTGTTTGCCTACCCTAATTGTCAAGATCAACATGAGTAAGAGGGACACAGCTTCCCAACAGACAGACCGAAATACTCGATTTGAAAAATAACATCAAAATTCCCCCAACTCCCCCTCCCACACTTAAGAGTCGAAGTCGTGTTTCTTGTGTACGACAACGAAGCATATAACAGCTACACTACAGACGTCAGTTGTCCTTACTGATCTGCGTTTTAAAGAAGCAAACAATACATGTTCATAAAAGTTTTAGTTAAGAAATGAGGTTGAGCCTGCTCTTACGGTCGACTGTATAAAGCAATCACCAGTACAAACGGCCACTCTCCATCTACTCCTTGCTCCTATTTACATTCCAATGAGATAAGATACATCTTTATTTTCCAAATCCTGGCACATTGGTTTGGTGTTTCACCACGTACTCACTCACACACACACGCACACACACACACACACACACACACACACACACACACACACACACACACACTCACACACATGCAGGCTTACAGTCACATGCACAATAATAAAGAACTGTAATATAAATACTAATAATCTTAAGCTAGGTACACACTCGGTATTCTGACAGCACAAACACAATGTTAGACGTGTTTAACGGTTACTTATCTCATCGACATTGGTTGGTCGTCTTAGACAATTTCGAGTGTACTTTTTGCATTGTACAACCTTTCGAACGAAGGATTTTATAACTGAAATTGTGAAATGAACTTGAGCAAATACAGTAAATGGCACAGGCGTCTGTGCTTTAGCGGTCATTCGCTTTGCTGTCGCACGAAGGAGACCCGAGTAAGATTTCCAAATGGAGATAGTGTTGTTATTGAGTATCTCAGTCTTTCTGTGGGGATATTAAATCTTTCTCAGTCAGGATACTTTTCTTTAAGTCAATATCCCTCAGAATATGGGGTAACCTGTTAAATCGATCCCTGCTGCTTTTTAACGAAACATACTATTGTTTTCCTTAGGATATTTTTCGCGGTTACTCAAAAATCGTGTTCCGACTATAGTTAGCTTTATTTTCCGCTTTATTCGGTGTTTCGTTTGAAATGTTGTAGTTGTCAGGTGTTTACCTTTGCATGCAAAAGACATGCGTCTCATTCTTTCTTGAGGAATTTTGCAAAGCAGTCTATATATAGTACATGTATTTTGTATGATTTAATGGCGAACCCTGATCACAAATTAATACAGTTCCACACGTATTTATTTATTTTGGGGCAATTATTTTGCTCGGGCACTCGTCATCACCACCATCAAGTGCCAGTTTTACAGGTTGTAATATTATGTGAATAAATGTATCAATAATTACAAGACCGTAGCTACCCCAAGACAAGTTTCGATAGCGCTTCTGTGGTATCAAAGCAGTGACCGAGGGGATTATAGTCCAGGGAACACTAAATGGTCAACATGTCGACCTCATTACAGGGAATCTAGGAGGCAAATCTCTCTGATTTTTTAAAATGCGCCTCTGAATTCGAAAAGACCTAAAAATTCTCGATTATCGTGCATATGCGACCAATATAAAGAGGCGCTGTGTACATAATTATTTGTAATTAGTTGCTCTTTAAACTCAGCACTGCACACTTTTTATAGCAAACACAGTACCATGCTAAAACGATAACAATACAGTGTGTCGTTTCAGGGGCTTGGCCAGAAATTTCAGGGGGGTGGGGGTGGGGTGGATACAGTTTGGTCAAACCTAAAACTTGAGATTAACAGAGTGCTAAATTTGAAGAGCTATTAGACATTTCACTGGGCAACCCCCCCCCCCCCCCC